TGATGTTGCACGGAATGCCCGGAGGACCGGAGGTAGTCATAGATGCCATTCAGGAGTTTACGGCGCATAGTGATCTTTTCACCATCAAGCCGAGTCCCACTAGCCGTTCTTTTGTTTTGTTTTTTTTTTTTTTTTTTTTTTTTGGCGACGATTGACCGTTCTTTAGTAAATAGTATTATTCAAACTAGGTTTAGTAAAGAACACAATTTAGTACTACCTCCTCACAAAAAGATGTGACTATATATTTTTTACGAGCCAAACTAGCTTAATTTTGATTAAATTTATAATAAATAGTATTGTTCTAACTTAGTTTACATAAAAATATATTTTATAATTAATTTACTGATGCTTATCTTATATCATAAATGGTAGTGTTTTTTTTATATAACTTCGGTTAAAAGATTAAAATTGTTTGGCTCCTCAAAAATGAGAATTGTGGATACTTTTGTGGACATAGGAAATATAGAATAGCCCAACTTGTTTGGTTGCCTGTATAAGGCCGAGACAAGCTTATAGGATGCAGCTTTCTATTGTTTGGTTGTCTAATCAAGGCATGAGGCTATCCCATGAGATGCAAAAGAGCTCCCTCAGCTGGCTTCTGAGAAACGAGTTTTATTTTCGTTTCACGGGCCTCGCTCGCTGGATCTTAGTAGCTGGACATGGTCACGTTTCTCGTTCTAGGAACGTCCACGTTCCTGATTCGGGAATAGCTATGTTCACACATTATAAAATAACATCCCGAGTTCTCACTCCCGTTTCACGTTCCTGTTCTCTTGAGGGAACGTGGCTGCCCAGTGCTGGATACGAGATAGCTCCTAGGTAATATGTGTTTAGTTTATAATTAGTATATCTTAAGCAATATTAGTACATAAATATAACAACTACTTTTGTCTTACACATTTTATCGAATACGACATATTCTCATACGGACAACCAAACACCGTATCAATTGAGCCAGGATGGCTAAATACGAGCAACCAAACAAAGCGACCTTGTATGAGTTCAGCCTGGCTCAACTGAGCCGGCTAAGCTCATGCGAGCCAGATTAGGTGATACAAAAAAAAAAGTAACCAAACATGCCCTAAACTACTCCTTATATTAAAAGGACAATAACTACTGCATTCTCTGTCATGTTTTTAACCCCCTTCGTAATGCCAAATGCCATATACGACTTTGATCGCTACTTACCTGTAAAATTTTGCATCATGCTACTAAAGATATATTTCTATAATGTCATTTTCATACACAAGTTATCAGTAGTATAGCAATTTCCATATCGATGCAATGCTACGTCAAACAAAAAAGAAGGGTGCGCATAGCCGGTTATTTTTGTGTTCCACGCTTGCTTTCGCTGTCCGTCCCATCACATAACACTGATTACTGTGCTCCGCCCTAGTATACTAGTAGTATATATTTACAGGTCCAAAAATACAATGTGAAAAGTACCCAGTCGTACTTTTCAAAAGTGTTGATGCCGAGGGACAGGAGTTGGTGGACGTGATATATTAATATCGCGGTGTCGCTTCGACATTAGATCTTCATCGTTACAAGAAATCTCAAGATTAGGCAGCTTTGGGAGCTCTTAAACAAGGTGCCGTCACTAGTCGTCCGTGTTAGGAGAGAGGAATCTGCCATGGGGGCAGACAAAAGCAGCCCTGAAGACTACGTGTGCCAAAAGATGAAAGCATGATGCCTGCCTTTGCGCGTGACGGACGGGAGCGTAATGAGGATGCGTGATTACTCGATGATCCAACAATTGGATGTTACACAACTTACACTGTGGTAGCACAGTGAGTGTTTTTATTGATTGGAGTCCCGTTTCCTGGCATTGCCACAGTTGACGCAAAGGTCGTGGGGTACGATATAGCGCACTGAGCAGGGGCCTCTTAACAATGAGCACATGTGTGATAGGGTTGAGATGGAATCCAAGATCCATAAAGACAACAAAGCACACTAGCCCTAAGATCCATAGCAATATATTATTGTCGGATAGAGCCACCAACTAGTAATAATATGGATGATCACTGTCGAGTTGGGCCACAACCCAGCAATGGTATTACTAATGTCGGGTTATAGATTGACCTGACATCAGCATAAGGGCTTCACTGTCGGATTTTGGATTGACTCGACCGTGTTCCAGATTGTTGGATCCACCTACCACCGAATTACTTGGTGCCCCACCATTAGACCCAGCTATACTATTGCTTTTCGTTAATAAATCATGCGTCTGAATAGTTAAGGTCCCCTTCTTGTAGTATCACGAATCCAGTACCACATACCCATTGCTTTAGCATTTGTAGTATTAAGATGCGCGCTCTATAGGAGAAACCGTCTCTCTAAGGGCCTGTTCGGTTAGGCCCATTCCTGGCCGGAACAGTTCTCGGTGATGTTTGGCTGTATAAAATACAGCAGCGTTCCAGACCGGATCGGTTCTAGGACTTGATCATGTGCGAACCAAACATGCCCTAAGAGAAAACCATCCTCATACACGTTCCCTTCACTTTTAAGATGGTGCACGAGGGATGTACTGAAAGAAAAGACAGAGCCATGTTGGAGCTAAGACACTCTGCGGGCAATGTTAGTGTAATCCTGTTGGTTCTTAGGCTGTGTTGATCAAGGAAGAGGCACTAGCCCATTCTCTTTTCCTAGCGCAATGGCACATTTGAGACCCCACTCAGGGTGGTTTGTTATGTGTTTATTCGAATGTCACTTCAACTGTATACACCTGATATTCTGTTGTTATGTTATAGCATATCTGTAGACTTTGATGCTAATATTGGTCTGGTGGAGGTTCTGAAAAGGTTTTTGTTATGGTATATGTAATTTTTAAGGTCTTGGTTTATTGTATAAAACTTTTGTCTTATATACTCTAAAACTATCATCACATGCAAAAGGGCGACATATATGTTGTTGTCCAGGAGTTTTAAAAATTTTGGAAATGATTCACTATTTTTTTATAGTTTAAATGATTTTTGTGTCTCATAAAAAATTTCAGAATTAAACTGCATGTACCCCAATAAGATAAAAATGTATTTGGGCTCCTATGGTCTATTCAACCATTTGTCCTAGAGATAGATGAAAATTATAATTATTTTGTAGGGACGATTTGGTCTTCTATCTCTAGATCATCACAAAATAATTCTAATATTCCATCAATTCCAAATTATAAGATGTTTTGGCTTTTTAAGTACATAGTTTTTGCTACGCATTTAAATATACACTATGTCTAGATACATAGTAAAAGAAATGTATCTAGAAAAGGCAAAACGTCTTATATTTTGGAACGAAGGGAGTAATATCTAAAAGTGTTTAGAAAAATCTATAAATTTGCATTGAAGCATTTTTTTGTATATATACTTGGGATACTTCTGGTATATATATACTTGGCATAAAATTTTCAAATGATTATAGTATAGGAGTATACACATCATTCATAAAATGGATACACATCATCTAACTCAAGTCAAACTTTAAAGTTTACACACCACAGATCAATATTGAACTCATATGCACCTCAAATTTTTCACAATCTTACATTTACCACAAGGAAATACAAGGTTTCAATTTGTAAATAGTTTACTATTTTTCATAGTTTAAGTAAATTCATGGCTATATATCAAAAGTAGAGAAGGGGCACAAACATAGGTAACATTCAACAAGAGGAAAATGGTATAAACCAATTTTCTAAAATTTGGCATGATCGCTGCATACTTTTTATAAGGTTGTGGAGGAGGGTAATTAGATCTGACGGTGACAACTCATGCATGTACTCCAGGTAGGCGCATCCAATAGTCTGAATTGATGCAACAATTAACAAATTTTCAAGAATCTGACATGATCACTATTGGACAAAGGTTAGACCTAGCAGTGATGGCCAATGGTCACTGTCGGTTCAATCCATGGCCCGCTCGCTCTGCGCTGCCACGGTAAAGTTAAATGTGCCCTTAAGGGCATGTGTCTCACCATCTCCCCCATTGGATTCGCATTGAGAAGTGTGAAATGTGCAAACACTTCTCAATGCGAATCTAATGGGGGAGATGGTGAGAGCACATGCCAAGGGTAAAAAAAATCGCCTCCGCGCTGCCACCCGCCATGGTCGTGCCCCATTCGTCGGATGCGCGCCACCACCCGCCATGTCCGCGTCCCACTCGTCGGATGCGTGCCACCACCCGCCATGGCCATGCCCCGCTTGTCATGGTCATGCCCACCCTGTCCGCCCTCCACCGCCCACCATGCATTGTTTTTGAGGCGTCGCCTAGGCGACAAGGCGTGCCCAGGGTGCTGGGCGTCGGGGTCACCACGGCATGCGTGCGTATGGCATCCGCCATAAGAGATTAGGTGTCGATTAGGCGTGGAAAGGCATCGGGTGAGCGCCTAGAGGCCTGTGGCGGACGTCAGAGCAGAGGAAGGCGGAATCAGGCTGGGAATCCAGCGGACGCGATGAAACTGGCGGGAATCGACCGCGCACGATGAAAGCTGGGCGGGAAATCGACCGCGTCGCGTCCGCGCTAGAAGGAAAAGGGCGGGAATCGATTGCATATATGCTGTTGCGCGGCAAATCTCCCGCTCGGGGGCCTTTTTATGTGGGTGCGGGCCGCTGAAGCTTCATGGAGAGAGGAAAGGAAAAGAGGCGGTGGCGGCCCTGCTTCTTGGCGGCGGAGGCGAAGGCTTGCTGCTCCTTGCTCGAGTCCACCGGCCACACGCATCTCCCACGAGTCCGCCCCTGCATCTCTGCCTGGTTACTCGAGTCCACCAGGGGTCCGTCCGCACCGCACCTGCAGCTCCTGCCCGTCCGCACTTGCTCGCCCGCCTCCGTCAACCGTCTGCTCGTTCGCCTCGTATGCTACCTGCCTCTTCTGTGGTCTCCTCTGCTTCCCTGCTTCCCTTCTCTTCCTCTGTTTCTTTCCCTTTTCCTCTGTTTCTTTCCCTGTCTCTCGTGCTTTGTTATATAGAGGTGACCGGAAGTGCTCGAGCTCTTTGGTTTTACCGCTGATATCACAATGGCAAGTCCATCTTCCATCATCAGCAATTATGATCCCAATTTAGCTCGGAAGGCAAACTCTGCGGATCCAGGATGGAAGTATGGGTACTGGCCAAACCTTCAAGACAAAGATGTGGCGGCATGCACTCTATGTGGTGCCTCACTTACTGGAGGGATAAAAAGGCTGAAGAAACATCTGGTGGGTGGCTTTGGAGATACAAAGAAGTGCATGAAAACTACCACTGCAATTAGAGCGGAGATGAAAAACTGCTTGAACAATCATCCCTAGATGACACTGAATAGAGATTTCAGATCTCCACTTATGCTACTTATATTTGTTTTGCCTTAGCAGCACTAGTCATTAAGTTATATTATGTTAATAGAGACTAATTTGTTGCTATTGACCGATGAGAGATTTCAGATTTGCTATTTTGCTACTTTACGTTGTGCACTAGCACTCTGGTAGCATTTTATTATGGTATTACATGCTAAGACTTGGCAATATTAAGGTATGATTTACTTCTGAATTTTAGTAGCATTATATATTAAGATGATCATATGGCGTCGGCTAGGCGTCCGCCATAAACACCTAGGTGTTGTGAAGGGGGTAGGGCACCGCGCGACGCCGTAGCGCCAAAAAAACACTGCCACCATGACCATGGCATGCTCGCTGCCACCCGCTATGGCCGTGCCACGCCCACCACCAGCCATGGTCCCACCGTGCATGCCGGAGTTGCGCCCACCATGGCCACACCTGCCGCCCATCCTATCGACGCTGTGTCGAGGAAGATGTTTTTTTCAATTTGCACCCTAATTAATTTTTTATAATTACATATGCATCTAGGATAGAGCCAGAGCTCTTCCAAAACCGTTAGTGGGAGCCTGGATCCACGATGGAGCATACGGTGGATCTTGGTAAAGCTAGATTTTAAATTTTGTTTTTCAAAGCCGGAGCTCTCCCACATGCCCTAAGAGTAGTTGTTAGTCTCAAGGATCCAAACAGGGCCTAATTGTGGGACTAGCTCTGTTGGGCTGTAGATCTGTCATGGTTTTTGATAAGTGGGCCGAGCAATCAAAGATAAAGCCCATCATGTCCTAATTGGTGATATAATAGACATTGAATAAAACGGGCTCATTCTTGTTATGAATAAAATAGACTTCACATGAAAATCACTACAGCACTTAATTGTATAAAACTATTTTCTCCACCATATTCATGAAAATCTATAAGCGATATGTCTGTAAAAGTGTGCAATAGGCATTGACTTCATCTCAAAGTTCATGACTGAACTGTTACATTGACAGAAATCGATGGGTTGAAGCATTTACCTGACCTAAAAGCTCATCAACCATAATACTCTTCTATAGCAACAGGGAGTGACTGCCCCCAAATAGTCCAGCGCTTATTTGATGTATGATTTTGCATCTTTACAAATAGCATGAAGGCCTTTACAATGTTATACCTGCAAGATTTCCAGTAAAATATCATTATGAGCAACACTTAGGTGGGGGTTCTTTCTCAGGCTCGTCATTGACGATCAGGATCCCCTTCTTTGGCTGAGGTGGTGACAGGGCATCAGCGCTGTTTTTTCTCTTCTCTAATAATCCTGCATATCAAGGCAGTCAAGTAAGTAGCAATTTACCATGATAAACATAAACGATTAAAAGTAAAATACTCATCGGTGACAGTAATATAGTTTTGCAATCCCTAAAATATACGAAATTGTTGCAAGAAAATGTTTTACTACAGAGTTCATTGTGCCTACCAACAATAAAAATTCGCATTTTGAGTCGAAACTATTTGATTTCCCTTGTTAAAGTCCTGACGATCAGGAATAAATCAAGGCATGTACAATGATACACATTAAAATAAAACAGATTCAATGACTAAAATACCTTATTACAAAATATACATGTAACTAGTATACACTAGAAACAAAGCAATAAACAGAGGCATTTAGCATATCAAGGACTGCCATGGCCTGAAGGCAGTTTGGGTTTATGCATAAGTAGTTGCATCAGCTGAATATATGTTTCAGGCCAACAGCCTTAAGAAACATGAAGCAATTGAAATTACTAAATAAATAATAGTGGTCATTATCATATTATAATTCAGTAAATAGTTCATTACAACTTATGGAAGAATAGTAGTGCGGTGCCTGATACAGCGTATATGTATGTGCCTACCAAAAACAGAACCTACGTTTGGCTATATCACTGAAGACATCATCGATTCCAGTCCCTGCTTTGGCAGATGTAACAAAGAGATTTGTCGCAATACTTTCGGCATAACTGTAGGCAGAAATAACAATTGATTAGATAAAATGTTATAGTTCTATGACAGAAATATCAGGACTATGAAAGGCCAAATAAATTTAAAATAGAGATAGTACTTTTGCCGATTGTAATATGTTGCAATTATGTTAACATATCAGATTGTTAAACCGATGTGCGAAGTAAAGGACAATGCATTCATTCTCTTCTATTTAAGGGCAGAAAATTTCTGTTCCACATAAGACATCCCTCCCTTGCTCAGAGACTTATAACCGTGTTCATGTTAAAGAGGCAACACTCTAGCTAACTGCTTCACATAGACCCTATGTAGCACGGATACGGATACGCGTATCGGTATCGGAAGGATACGGATACGCGGATACGGCAATTTTCTAGAAAACATGATAGGCGGATACGTTTTACTATTTTTTTAATAAATAAATAATAATACAAATTAAAATTGTGAAACTTAGTCACAGGAAATCCTAATGTCTGTTCTCTGTTGTGATTGTGGCTGTGCTCAAGGTTACTAGGTTGTCACTGACACTGGGAAATTAACCATGTGCAGTGGTTTCAGCCTTGTGGATAATGACATATATACTTTTGTGTGAGAAGTGGCTGGTAGCCACAGCCCACAGATCCTACGCGCGCCTCCCATTAGGCCCATCAGTAGCCCGACTAAAAGGAAGCCCTAGGCTGAAGCATTTTTGTCCGTCCGATTAAGATGGATGGCCACCATTTCATTTTGCCGAGACAAAACTGGAGGGCTGGGCGGCTGGGAACCTAGCCACGCGCGCCTCACTCCACTTCTCAGGGTCGGCCGCCGCTCCCCTTCTCGCGCGCGGAGCACGTCCACCGGCACCACGGCGCTCAGCAGATCCGCAGCGCTCGTGCGGCAGATCTGCATCATGGGAGCTGGCCGCGACCATGACTGACTGGTACTTCCTTCTCATGCTCATCAACTTCTCACGGGAGCTGGCCGGCGGCCATGAACTGAAGAAGAAGAGGAGATCGAGAACATGGAAGGGGATTAACTCACGGGATCCACGTCGCAGGGCGGAAACTCGTCGCTGGCGGCCGGCGAGTAGGGACGGAGGCTCGTCGCCGGCGAGCGGAGGCAGAGGTCGTTGTTTGCGGTGGCGGCGGCCCGGCGAAGCGGGTTCTGCGCGTCATCGCTGCTGGGATGCGGCGCGAGGCGCTGGGGCGCAGCCGTGCGGGGATCATGGACATCGGACGCTAGGCGTCGGGCGAGAGGATAAGGCTGTCTTCCTGCGCTTCTTCGGGTCTGGGCCAGATCGGCAGCGAGCGGATCGTGTCGGATGGCGTATCCAATTTGCACGAAAATAATAAAAAAATCGGATACTCCGAGGATACGTATCCTGGGCGTATCGGACACGTATCCGTATCCGATACGTATCGGATACGCGATACGTGGCTTCAGGGACGTATCCGTGTAACATAGCATAGACCCCAAATTTTCAAAACAAGGAAACAGATCATTCCTTGGCATTCATTTTCTCTTCCATTTGCTTCTTTTTGGATTGAACACCAAGATGTCAAGAACTAATAGCACAAGCAAATTAAAACGGCAACGACCTAACAAACTTCTCTACATCCAAAAATTTCAATGACTAGGGACCTTGTCTGCACAGTCACTAAAGCAAGAAACAAAGTTCCTAGTTCTTTACATTACCACTGGTAAATATTGGCACAAAGATCTCAGAGGAGTTAGGCTTCCAACTGTCAAGAAAAAATTACTGATATGGAACCTGCTTAGTTTAAATATAGCATAACAAAGAGCAATACCTTACAGCATCTTGAGTGTCTATGTTCTTCAATCTGACCAAATCACTTTTATTCGCTGCAATGGCCATAACAATATCTTTACTTGCCATTTGTTTGAGCTCTTTCACCCATTTTGTGACACGAAGAAAACTATCACTATCTGTGATGTCATACACTAATAGAGCAGCTGCAATGATATAAATGGTGAGAAAATGGGGATATGTATAGATCACTTTACTGCTAAAAACAAGTAGGTTGTACCATCTGCATCACGATAGTATATAGGACCTAGTGCATGAAACTTTTCTTGTCCAGCTGTGTCCTGAAAGCAATGAATATACTTACTAACAGAGCTTGAAGTAGAAACTTAAAAGTACATTGTAAGGTATCATTCCAGTGCCAAACAAACATCAAATGCATCGCATGAAATAAAAGAACAACAGTAACTGGTAGCTTCAGAATCTTGTTGATGGCACAAACTCTACAAGCTAGAAAGACTGAGGGCCTAGGATTCTTAACTCAGCATTCTTGTAAAATACTTTAGATGTCGGAGAAGGATACTCTGTAGTTCTCAATAATGTTCAGTGAACATGTAAAAGTAATGCCCTCAAAAAAGAAGTAAACAAGTACAAGTATGAGAACAAGCCTAAGCACGGTACTAAGATTGTAACCAGACCATTAATGCAATAATACAGTTCTCCTGCATGTTCGAGAATATAAAAAGTACATGCAAAAACCTAAGCATCTTTACAAAAAGTACTCTAAAACATATTGTACGTGTAAATATGGACAAATTAATTAAGTTAACGAACTGAATAAGAAAACATTTTTTGTGACGAAATAATACTAATAGTTCAATGCAGATGGTTGGGATGTAGAATTTATGCATAGCTTTAATCAAGGTATAGCAATATCTTTAAATAAAAAAAGTATGATATTGCAGCAAAAATACACTAATACAGTACAAATTCATTCCCAACTCGAAATTAGAAACAGTTTTTGCTAATGGATATTCAACCAAAATTAAAACATATCAAAGAGATGACAACGCACCCATATAGAGAGCGTAATAGGCACACCTTCAACAACAAGGTGCTTTGTCAAATACGAGGCTTGAACTGTTGCTTCCTGTTTGTCTGAGAAGACATTATTCACATACCGCAGAACAAGAGATGTTTTTCCCACTCGTCCTACAACAAGAGAAAAATGGTATGACAAAAAGAGTAAAGGGCACAGGATTGTTTTGGAAAAAGAAAAGTTAAACATGTTGCGCTGTACAAAACACGAAAGTATATAGTCAAGCAAGTGACCACGTGCCATTTGTCCTAAATCCTAAGTTTACATTACATCCATCACCAAGAAAACGTAAACTAAGGGTCAATTACTCAGCTTGTTATCAACATACTTAGAGGAACCCTACTGGTAGTGTGAACTGAAAACTGATGGTTCGATGAGGCAGATCACGGTGCAACAGATCAAGTGCCATGTTCAGATTTTGAGCCCAGACAAAGATGGAGGTAGTGAAGGACTTAGAGGCAGCACATTGCCCTGGTTCATGAAGAACCCCCCCCCCCACACCCACCTATTCGTTCGAGCAGCCTCAGTTCACACCAAGTTGAAGCACCGAAGTATCTTCTCCCTTTTGTCGATGCTGATAGTGTGTAAATCGAACTGTGTGACTCTCACATCGATTTGCAACACTGGAGCTGCTCGAACAACTTATAGGGCTAGAAGCTTACAAAATAAGCATTATGATTTGGCATATAGCACATCCAGTAGAGCATTTCTCCTTATTAGCATAATCAGTAGTTCTCCTACCTGATTCATCCTTGTCTATTAATGTAATGCCAATGCATCACAGAGCAGGCAGTCTATACCCATCATTTATTAACCTTGCTGCCTTCCGTTTTTCAGTCAGATTCCTTTTCCCATGGATATCTGTAATTTCACGCCTATAAGAACAGCACCGGTAAGGCCTAACCCTAGCTAAGCCTTGGACACGCACCATAGCCGAGAGAGAGCAATAAAATCGACAGGACTGGCGCGATTCGACGAGATTCCCCTTTGATCCGCTCTCCCTTAACTACTCTGTACTGGGAGAGGTAGAGAATTCAAGGGCGGAAAGGGCTCCGGGTTGGGGATCGGAAGGGAGCCGTACCGTCGCCGAGTAGGACGAGCTTGAAGGAGATGCCAGGAGGCCTCGAGCCCATTGGCGACAGCGAGGCAGAGGCTTTTCACGACAGTGGAAGCTCAGCTTCCAGAACCCTCTGCCAGGAGCCGGAGCCGGGGACGGGACCGCCGGTGAGACGGGAAGGTTGCAGACGGGAAAGTGAGCGTGAATGAAGACACAGTTAGCTTGATGGTTTCAGCCAGCCTAAATCAGCCAGCCAACGTTGTTTTTCTCTAAAAAAATCAGTACCAGCCAACCTAAATCAACCCAACCAGCGAACAGACCCTCTTGACAAAGCCATCTGTGAAGGCCCATATACTCGGCTATGGATAAAAACGGATTAGATACGAACGGATATTATTTATATTATATTTATTTTCATATTTCTGTTCGGATTTGGATTCGGACACGGATAGCGTTCGGATACATATACAAATATGGATTGACTCGGTTACGAATACGAATAATGAGTATTAAATACGGTATGAATCAGATTCGAAAAGGTTGGATATAAATATCTATTCGGATATTGAGTAAAAGCATTTATATATATATATATATATATATATATATATATATATATATATATATATATATATATATATATATATATATCCAAGTGGGAACTTATATATGGACCAGCTAGCTTAGCTAGGGTTATAGAGGATTGGACCATTTGGGCAAGAAGTAATATTTAATATTTTGACTCAAGTCTAAAAATCACAATTCGAGACAAAAAAAAACGAAAAATTATTGTTTAAGATCCTAAATAAATTCAAATAAAAATATTGTAATCAACAAAGTTTCATAACTTTATGGGATCTAAAATTTTCATTGTGGTTGTTTCTCCATCTAAGATTCCGAGGTCATTTGAAAAATCCAAATTTTAAATTTGAGAAATTAAAACGTAGTTTTCTTTGATAAGATGATTTCAAATAAAAAAAATTTAACTATAAAGTTTCATAAATTTCTGAGATCTACAACTTTTATTTTAGTCATTTGTTCATCCGACATAGTGGTAGTAACATTATTCACGAATCTCACACATCTCTCTTAGAGTTTATGAAACTACCAGAAAGAGATGTAAATTTTATGAATAATGTTACTACCACAATCTCGGATGAACAAATGACCAAAATAAAAGTTGTAGATCTTGATGAATTTTAAAACTTTTATGTTCATGACTTTTTCAGCTGAAGTCATTTAATGTTTGAAAATGACGTTTGAAGTAGCTATTTTTTGAAATTCAAAATTCAAATAGATAGAATACAGTCACATGAAAAGATGAACACAATAATAGCTATAAGAACACAATAAATTGATAGAACATGATTTTAGAAAATTTTAGAAAAAAAATTATCAAATTTGAAGTTAGTATGAGGGAGAAAAACTAGTTACAAGTTTTAGTGAAAGATTAAAAAGAGAAATAGGCGTTCTTTAACCATTTCGAAATTGAAATTCAAATAGCATTTTGAAGCACTAAATGATTTCAAATGAAAAAGTTGTAAACAACAAAGTTTTATAACTTTTTGAGATCTACAATTTTTATTTTGATCATTTCTCCATCCAAGGTCGTTTGAATAATATCCGGATAATATCCGTTTGAATAATATCCGGATATATCTGATACTTAACCGGATTATCCGATATCCACCGGATATCGATGATATTACATTCGTATTTGATATCCGCATAAGATATCCGTTTTATTATCCGTATCCGAAAAAATTATGGATATTCGAGTAACTATCTAGATAAGTGTTCATATTTGTTCGGTCGAACGGACGGTCGAATAAATATCCGTACCGTTTCCATCCATATACTCAGCCCAAAATTCAAAGAAAGATCATTTTTGTTAAATTATTAGAGCATCTCCAGCAGAAAATACTCTCAAAAACAGGTTTTCCAACCTTTACAAAATATATTATGAGACATAAGGAAGCAATAACTCCAACAATTTCTAAAATCTCGCGCCTTGAAGATAGAAGGTAATTTTACATCAGGAATCCTAAACTATTTCTAAATCACACTAACCACTTTTATACTTTATTTCTCTCTTATAGATTTGCATCAGAAACTCTGTCCTTTTTTTCTTCCCCATGTCCTTCCACTCCAGATTGGGGCGACAATACGCGCGTGTGACTTTACGCGTGTGGGGGTGGTTTTTTCCAAGTGCCAAAAGATTGAGAGGTGGATTTAGGAGTTGTTGGAGATGAGTTTTTTTAAATTTTGCCAAAATTCCTAGATTGGGAGACTCTTTTGGGTACCCTTGGAGAATCTCTTAGACCTATAAAAAACTCGAGTTATAGGGTAAGACATGTGCGGACATTTATGCTTGAGATAATAAAAGATAATTTTCTCAAGTAGATTCACAAAACTCCTAAACCCCTACCCTACCTCCGTTCCGTTTAGGGCATTTAGGCTATTTTCTCCCGTGTTACGGTCGTTTAGATGGTCAACTGTTTAATTTTCGTTTACCCCCTAAACAAAATAGACCATTGTTTACCGTTTAGCGGTTGTTTACACAACCAGCTAAACATTATATACTAATTATAAAGGATACAAAACAAGCAAATGAAAGAGTGCAAAGATAAGTGAGGACTCTAATAGGGTGTTTAGTTTGAGGAATTATTGATGTTTGACCACCGATAGCCTACCACGGGGGTACCCGGGGCAGTATATTCGGGTTTCAGCGTATGCGGAACTCGACGATGAATGCAAGAGACAGTCGATTTATCCTGGTTCGGACCCTCGATCGTTGATCGAGTAATAGCCCTACGTCCAGTCGGTGCTAGCCTTTTACGTTGGATTTGATTGTCAAGTGTTGTGTTGTTCAGTCCTCTCTCTAGGAACCCTGCCCTCCTTTATATAGTCAGGAGGCCAGAATTCTAGTCGGTTTATAATGAGAGTTCCTAGTATGATTATAGAATAATACTACTAAGATTACATGGAAAGAATTCTAGTTAGACTAGAACTTCTCCCTTCCTGGGGGTATCCCGTGGGTCCCGCATCGACAAGCCCCCGAGCACTTCATGGTTGAGCTCTGGAAGCCTCGTCTTGTTCCTTCAGGTCTTGCCGAGCAGGAACAAGCGTTGTCCGAGTGCTTTTTGAGCGAAACCGTGTAGCGCTTCGTGAGATCTTCGCTTGCCGTGTACCTTTTTGAAGAAAAAAGTATTCTCATTTGAGTGTAGCCCCCGAGCCTCTTGCTATTTGGCACAAGGAGCTGGAGGGTCTTCTTTTGAAATTGCTCTGATTCTTCGTCGAAGGGCTCCTGAGCCTATACCCGGGTTCTTTATCAAAAAGAGCTCGGATATAGCTTGGTCCTGGTTCTTTTTGTCGTGAGGCTTTGAAGAGGTCTGTCTTGAAGAAGTCTTTTTGGTGATGTGCACTTTTTTGAAGAAAAAAGTACATTCACTGAGTGTAGCTCCCGAGCCTCTTGCTATTAGGAATAAAAAGTTAGAGGGTCTTGAATCTTATGTTGTTTGAAACCTACTGTCTTGAAGAAGTCTTTTGAGTGATGTGCACTTTTTCGAAGAAAAAAGTGCACTCACTGAGTGTAGCCCCCGAGCCTCTTTCTATTTAGAACAAAAAGTTGGAGGGAAAAAGTGCACTCACTGAGTGTAGCCCCGAGCCTCTTGCTATTTGGAACAAAGAGTTGGAGGGTCTTGATTCTGAGTTGTTCAAGTTACTGAAAAACCTCTTCTATTGTAGCTCCGTCTTGAATCTGAGTTGTTCAAAGGACTGAAAGCCTTTCATATTGCAGCCTCTGAGCATATACCTGGGTTCTTTTATTCGAAAAGAACTCGGATACAAAATCTTGGCATGTTCTCTGGTAGTCTGCTGTTGTCAGATGCAGTTGTATGATGGTGGTTGAGAGTAAATGCCGTTTGTTTACGAGTTGTACAGTGTTGGTATATTCTTCTGAATATGCTCGTTCTTGAGTACTGCTCCTTCACGCCTAAGTCTTCTTTCATTAAATTCTATCTTTTCACCGTGTCCTTTGTTAGGTTTGTTCCATTGATGCTCCCGATCTATGTGCACTGCTTCTTTGGTCTATAAATACCCTCCTGGTGTGCTGTTTTGATTTATCGAGCATTTTGTTGCGTGGTCTGAAATCTTCGTAGTCATGAATATGATAGTTTGTGAAGTAGAACAGCCCCGGGCGTATTTTGTAGTTCTTGTGTATCTTGTCGTAGCTGTATGGAGTCTTGTGATAGGGATTAGAAGTAGACTAATCCCGCAGCAGCATTGTACTTGGAAGTATGTGGCGGTAGTCGGAGGGAGTCTTGTGATGTGGGATACGTTCCTTCATCTAGCAGTTCTGGGTTGATCCTCGTCGCCTGCCCTGAGACTGTCTGGTGCAGATCAACACCATATCCATCATCACATCGGACTTGGGTAGACAAATGCCTGTCGGCCTTCTCTGCTCCATGTTGTCTCGCCGTGTTGTTGATTCCTGCCTTGGATGCACTGCGTCCGTCCTTTGAAGAAAACAGTGTAGCCGAGTGCGGTTTGTTCTACCGAGTAGCAATTTGGAACACGTAGTCGTTCCAGAGCCTAGCTGTGTCCGTGTTCCTCTTTGCTACCTTGTTTGTCGTAGTACCGAGTTCGTTGGGTCTTGTAAGATGTGTAATCTTTTATTTTTTGAAGCCATTTGTAATGGAAAGAATCCTATCTTCTGAGTTGTCATTCTTTTTTTTCTGCTAAAGTCCTGGTTGTTTATGAGATTCCCGAGTTCTTTCTATAAGAACTGGGTTCTTATGTTCCTTGTGAGGTAACCCTTCGTTGCTTCATGGTTGATGAGTTCTTTTTTGTAGCAATATGATAACTCCGTCGTGGTGCTGGATGGATAAGTCTGAAATCTGCCCGTTGAATTGTACCGTTGTGTGGATTTGTGTCGTCCGTCATTTTAGCTATGTCAGTAAATGGACCGTTGCGTTCTCATGCCGTGTTAAAACGGGTCCGGTGGGCCGTGTTTTACTACTGTAAAATCTATTTAAAGGCCTTTCGTCTTCTTTTTCTTTACTGCCCTACTTTTGC